CCTGGTGCGTTCCAGCCTGGGTTTGCTGATAATTACTACTATTTCGACAACTCTTACGGCTCATTCATTCATGTAAGTTTTCCAGGGCATTGTATTCTGACTATTTGAGGAAATCTCGAATACTATTGCTGCTCATTCGCGCTTATGGGGGTAATATGCAAAAGCTCCGGAGCTGGAGAACATTTTAACGGTATGCTCTGTGTTCAATGTTTGCTTAACGCATTTCTACTCTTAATTCTTATGCGTATAGCTGTACACAAGAGCTCTTTACCAGCACTTGAATGCTTAAACCGAAATAAAATGAAAGTGGTTGGAAGCCGTGAGTAAAAATGCTGCGCTTGCTAACAGAAATCTAAAACTCAAACCGCTTTCGACTTTCTGGGCCGTTATTTTCCTTTGTCAGTACGACCTAAGAGAAAAAACTGAATGCTGTGCACACTGCTCACGTATCCCACTCAATCACGTAAGCAAAAACAAAAGAAGAAAATGATTGGTCAACGTACGGGGTGCCCGTGCGAAGGTGCGTTTTTTGCGTAGTTTTCCGCAGTTTTTGCCGCTACCGGCACCGGTTTTTTCGGCAAATGCTGCTTGCTAAAAAAATTAAGACTGGCCGCCTGAACTGTCAGGAAACACCCCCTTAAAATTTCAGCTTTCTAGCTTTTCTGATTTCTGAGTTAACAACTTACTGGAAAAAAAATTTCACAGGCCCGTACGTGGGTACCATGCATACCCGATGTCTGGGTTTGAGCTTATTGAGAGTTACGTAAACGGGGGACATCCTCTTAAAATTACAGCCTCCTGGCTTTTCAGGTACTCGAGTTAGCAACTTACACAAAAAAAACTTTGGTGGGCCCGCGTGTGGGTACCACGCATACCCAAGGGCTGGGCTTGAGCTCACTGGCACTTAGGACTTGCATGGGCGAGGAAGAACATCCCCTTAAAATTTCAGCTTTCTAGCTTTTCTGGTTCGGGAGTTAGCGGTTTACCCGCCAAAAACTTTCACGGGCTCGTGCGTGGGTACCACGCGGGTAAGAACGCCCATTTTGTGGATGAAAGCCCGTAAATGCATGTAGATTACGTTCCCAAAGTTTCAGCCCTGTAGCTTTTGTAGGTCCCGAAATGAAAAAGCGGTACAGAGGCCCAGCGTACACACACACGCACACACATACACACATACACACATACACACACACCCTCTCGTCAGTAGGCGTTTCCCACATTGCATAGCTGCAAAAAACGCATAAAAATGAAATGGTACATCATGGTAAATACCCGTTTTCGTTTCGGTTCGTTCAAATTAGAAAATGGCCAGTGATGAAATCCCCTCTATATTCATTCTATATGAGGAATA